CCCCAAAACCCCAAAACCCCAAAACCCCAAAACCCCAATTAGAAAATTAGGTGGAGTTTCAATAAAAATTATCTAAAAATATATAAAATGTCATTCAAAACAAAAAGTAAAAATCAAGGCAAAAAGAAGAACAAGCAAGGGCATCCTGATCGAACAAAACAGGAGGAAGGATCGAAACCGAAATATAATCATTCAAAAAATAGCAGTAATCAGTGGGATGAACCTATTACTTCGGAATCTATGTTTGGCATGCCGCCATCCACAGATTCGATGGCAGAGCCATTAGTCTTTGAAGGTGAGGGAAGTAAATAAAACTAATACCAGAGGAGCTTATAAGCCTGGAGAGAGGAGAAAAGAAAAGAACTTCAAAAGTCGACAAGAGGAGTTCTCGAAGGTTAATAATAACGAGTCCTTTCCAACACTTGGATCTGATTCTCCGTCTAAACCACCCAAGGAATCAAAGCCAGGTAAAAACATTAGCAGACAAAATACTAAGAACAAGAATAATAAGAAAAAGCAGAAAGATAATAAAGTAGAGGAGATTCCTAGGCATCAATCCTCTTCTCCTACAAAACCTCCATCAAGCAAAATAGAGGGCGAAAGTAAGCTAGAATCTTGCATATCTATTGATCCCAATTACAGTATTTACAAAATCCCCTGTTTTCCTTTTCTTATTTGACCCATAGATATGACAGAAACTAAAACTCCACCTCCAACAATGTCAGCACCACCGAATAATATGACAAATTCTCCAATTCCCATGCCTCAGCCAATATATCCTAATATGACTCAGAACATGACAAACATGGCAAGCATGCCCAATATGCCTAACATTATGCCTGGCAATTTTCCTAATCAAAATATGCAAATGCCAATGATGGGTCAAATGATCATGATGATGCCTCAGATGGGAATGGCGCCTCAACCATTCATGATGCAACAGCCGATGAATCCGAATATGAAAATGACACCGGCTCAGTTTCCTGCTGACTTCCAAAACAACATTAATGCTCCACCTATTGATCCCAACAACAAATCTGCCTCTCCAAAGAAGGAGCCAGGAGTAGAAAAATAAGGAGGTTAATACAAATGGGCTTCCAAAGGATCCTGCAATTGTACCACAGGATTCTCTCTCAACAGCTTTTACCTTAAACGATCCAGCAATCAGCATCCCTAAGATGGAGTCTAAGCCAACACAGAGTACTAATAATACAGGGATGAAGGAACAAGTGAGTAATCCTCAGCCAGTCAAACCTCAAGGCTTCCAGCCCCCTCCTCCACAAATAAAGAGTGTTGATAAATTTGAAAAGCCGGTTACTACTCCAGAAGTTAAACAGGAAGAGGCTTTTACTAAAGAATTAATTCCAAATGAGCAAACTTCTGAAATGAAGCCTCCTCAGACTCAACAGAATGCTAAACCGGCAATGCCAGTGCCCCTTCCAGCTAGGAGGCAGGCTGAAGAGGTACCTTTTGATTTGATAATTGAAAGTGACCTCTCCCTTCGTAAAAGATTAAGATGGCTCAACAAAAAAGAAGACCAACTCTCAAACATAGGTTCTATTGCCTTAGAAACTTATGATGATATTTTTACTGAGCTTGAAGAAGAGATTGAAAAGGCAGAACAACAAACACTTGCTCAGATTGATCAGCTTGAATACGATCCTGAAACAGTATCATACACTAAAGAAAGAGATATTCATATAATGAAAGAGAAAGACCCTCAAAAAATTTCTGCTGACTTTGAAAAGTATCTGAATACCTTACTCAGGACAGATGTTGTAATAAGGCCAAGCTATAGGAAAGATGCTTATTTCAAAATCCACAGTTTCCAATGGAAGTCAAGACAGATCCATACTTATAACCTCATGAATGGGGAATTAGAGACTACTCTTATTGACACCAATTTCAACATTCCTCTGTTCTCAAGATCGATTGCTGTAGAAAATGGAGATATTTACCTGACTGGAGGACTTGTGAAGCCATATTATCTAAAGACTACCTTTTTCCTTGACGAAGCCTCCAGTACTCTCGTGAAGAAGGCAGATATGAACTTGCCAAGGGCAGACCATTCCTTGATTTATTTAGCTGGATACATTTATGCAATCGGTTCATATGTCCATAACAAGTGTAATAACACCTGTGAGAGATACGATATTTATAAGAACAAATGGACTCCAATCGCTTCTCTCAATGTTGGAAGAGCTGGAGTCGGACTCTGCTCCGTTGATAATTCTTACCTCTATGCATTTGGAGGCAGAAATGAACAAAGAATCATACTTTCAGCTATAGAGTGTTACAATATTGCCACTGATGAATGGAAAGAAGTTGAATATCAGCAAAGAGACAGCTGGATCCCATGCTATATGAGTCTTGCCCATCAAATTTCGGAAAATGAGATTCTCGTATTTGGAGGAAAGTCAGGCCAAACTCAACTTGTTTCAAAGGAAAGCTATATTTACAATATTGAAACTGGAGAATTCATCGATGGTCCTCCTTTGAGAAATCCTTCTAGCTTTATGAACTCGATAATCTCATGGAAGGACAATCTCTATGTCTTTGGAAATGATGTGTACATCCACAGATTTTCACTAATCGATCAATCATGGTCTATCAAAGACAAGCATCACACCAACACCGAGCATGTCCAGAAATGGTTTTAGGCCAGCATTATAACACTGATTTACCTAAGAAGAAGACCGCAAAAATTTCAATGGGAGGGTTAATAATGGGGTTTTGGGGTTTTGGGGTTTTGGGGTTTTGGGGTTTTGGGG